ACATTATTTTTATATTCCCCGTGATGAGGTGCCAGCGTGCTTGGCATAAATATTTTGACTCCTCACACAGCAATAGCCTGTCTATTGATGTTTGAACGGCATTTACCATCATGACTGCTTACACTGTTGACTTAATGAGGTCATTTAATGATGGAACATGCCTTTACATGAACCTTCACACCGTGTCCTCACCAGGCCCGACGTGATAAAGCACCAACCATGAGTTTTTGTACTTTGCATCTGACCCACAAGACTTTTTGATATAGGCAATTGGTTTCTGTTTTAGTCATGTTCATAACATCAAATGTCTAGATGGTTTTTGGCAGCATTTTGCATTCAATGTTGACAGAATAATTAATAGATGTTGTAAACGTATGTTGCAACTGGTTAGAACACAATGTTTTAATGAATCTATAATGTAAGAGGTTTGATGTTTAAAAAAGAAAATCAATAGATTTCAGCAAAGCAGTTCTTTCCGCTATTTGGTTTGTGTTTTTGAGGACCGTTTGAGCTTGGCCTAGCCCTCTTCTGTAGCTCTCATGTGATCTGGCTATAATTTGACTTCCAGACATGGGCTGGAATAGAATATGACCTGCCATCTTCTCTCTAATCTCTCACGAGACCCCAGAGCTGACAGCGAGACCGGCTGGCCTCCTGTAGAGACCCTACTGTATGTGTCTGACTTTCAGACAGAAAATACACACACATCTTGCATTCATTCCTGTTCAAAATAATTTACTGATGAAGTTTAACATTTTGTCTTCTTAAGAGTGAGTCGTTTAATGGAAACGCATGACTATGAAGTATTACCTAGCTACACTACCATGCAAAAGTGTGTATTTTGTATTATAAAATATCTTTATTTAAAATAAATGTTCAATAGAACTTTCTATTCATCATCCTGAATCCACAGTTGTTTCACAACTGTTCTCAACATTGATAACCAAATGATTAAGCACCAGATCAGCATCTCAGAATGATTTCTGAAGGACCATTGTGTGTCTTAATACTGTCTTAATATAATTTATCAAATAAATTCAGCATTGGTGAGCACAAGAGACTTCTTCAAAGACATACAGAATTGATCTTCCTGACCACAAGCTTTGGAACGGCAGCGTACTGTGCCATAGTATTTAATCATTAGCACGATTGCATTAATATATCTTAAATCTATGGGACCAATAACAGCTTGTTTAATTCCAAGGGTCAGAGAGACCTGGAAAATGGTGATGTGAAACTGAATTACAATTGTTTTGGTCCTAAAAGCCTTGACTAACATTTATATATGGACACTTTTAGTTTGCTTAATGATCTTCTGTTTGCTTGCCTTCAGCAACTGTAGCCTCTGATGCATCATGACCATACGTGCTGCTTTATTTTCACCATATGTGGTCTCTTGTTTCTGATCAGTGAAGGAAAACTTCTCCTAAACAAAGCTTTTAAGATGTTGGCCGTGTTCTTAGGTAGCAGGTGGCGGCGGGGGTATTACAGCTGAGTCATGCTAAACCCAGCAAATCAGACAGACTGCATGTCATTTAAGCTTGGGTGAACATACTGAAGTGTTTAAGGGTGACTAGAGTACAATGTTGCATTGAAGTAGCCTATTTTATTTAGATTTTTTTTTATGTTTCCCCATCCGGCTCCATAATAAACCTACATGGTTGTTTTATGAGGTGTTGAGCCAGTTCTTTTTCTGTATTTACTCTCCCCCCTTCCTTTACACAGACCTATACAAGTTGTCCCAGCTGTGTCCCCAGCTGACAAGCAGACTGCCCCCCTTCTCTCTGTCAGGGAAGTGATTATGGCACTTGATGATCTCTAGAGAGAGTCATTACATCCAACCAGTCAGTGCACGCAGTGAGCATAACACTGCAAATCTCAATTACTCTAGGATTAAGGCTGGGTGGGATGACCAAAATCTTATATTACAGTATGAGTCATTTTATATCACAGTAACAGTATATATCTCAATATAGATATTTTTATTGGAAATTTAGTAGAAAAATCATTTAAATATTAAATAACCATACAGTAATACGCCCTCTCTGGGAAAGTGTTGACTTTATTGAAAGCTGAAAACTGAAAGAAATGTTATCTGATGTGAAGACTTGCCATTTCCTTCCTTCTGGAAGATTCAGTTGGAAAGAGTGAGAAACTGGTCGTATGACTCTGTTCACGCATGCCTTTCTGAAGTTTGCACATCGTGTTTTGCAGGCTTATTTGTTTTTTGTTTGTTTTTTCCTTTCTGGGTGTGTTTGAGTATTCCTTTAGTGACCTATATGAAAACCATAGCTGAGGAGTTAATTTTATTTCACGCCCTACCCTCCCGAACATACTCAAACTGGAGAATAGAGAATACAACAGCAGCTCACAAAGACGATAAGATCGTCGAGGAGTCCTCACACGCTTTCTTTAGCAGTGTGTACAAGACTAATTTTTCTCGCCTTTTTAAGCCCAGTGAGAGCTCTATTTTGGGCCCTTTTTAGGCATAAAGTACCCTAAAAGGAACGCTTGATGTCTTTACCTCACATTCACAGGAAGCAAGAGTGGTATTTTTTTGAGCTATGAATAGCACCCTCGAATATTTTCTGATTTAAAGCATTAAGGTGGAAAAACTGTGGCAGACATCACGTTTAATATGCACACGTACTCTTGTAACGAGAGCAAACCGAACACTGTCACACTTACAGAACACTGTCATGCTGGCAGGCATCAGAAGTAGGTTATTCATGCATTATAGATCCAGTTCTGGTTCTGGTTGGTTCCTCTTGTTGACAAGAAAGAAGCAGTTAGCTGGCCGACCTTATAACCGTGACCTCTCTGCTCACTGGTTTACTTGTCCATGGTAGTGTCCTAGATTTCCCATGTTAGATAGATAGTTTGTCACATGAATATATATATATATAAGACTCTTAAAGTCTGCTTTACTGGTTTCTCCTTTATAGAATTGGCAGTGGATTTTTTTTTTTTTTTTTGACTGAACAAACTTAATTTAAACTGATGCCTTTCAGCACACCAGTCTTCATCATGGTTAAATTGAATGAAAGGGAATATTTTATTATAATCCATAATTTAATGCTTTTAAAAAATATATATTTTTTTAAATGAATAAAACAATGTTATTATAATTCATAACATAATTATTCTGTTAATAATAAAATATTGTATTAAAGGTTAATGTCAAAAATAAAATGTATAATTAAAAATATATTTATTAAAATATAAAGTTATATTAATAATATAAAATATATTATTTGTATGTTTTGTTACTGTTTATAATTGTATAAATTGGTGTTTTATTATTCTTAATTTTTTTGTAAATTATTTTAATTGGTAGATGTCACGCATTCGATCCTGTCATCAATTCAAAATTTCATTTTTTAATTTTCTACTTTGAAGGCTTGTGCTGTGTGCTGAGACGCCTTGTTTGATGCAAAAATGCAATTCGTCTTTCTGTTAATCTGGTGATGTTGAATAGCTACTCGAGGCTGAATAAGTTTAGAAACCATTGAAGTGTGTCTATTTATGGACCAGCCTTAAAGCGCTGCTGGGCTAAAGCAAAAAGTGGGTGCAAGAACGCAAAGCGTCTGTTTCTGATTTTATTGAATGACTACACCTAATTATATAGTGAAAAATGTGGTTCAGATGCGTTCACTGTTGAATCTTGTCTCCTGTCATCTGTGTGCATTTACACTGTGTCAAAATGGCACTGAACGCACTGCAGTAGGACCTCTGCTGGCTGTCCACTGGAAGTGACGCTGACGCTCCTGCGTAGGGCCTTCAAGGTCATCTGTGTCCGTGCCTCTGCTCCAGTCATACCCTATTCTGTTGAGGACACCCTCCAGCTGTGTCTGTTTCAGTATCAGCTGAAGGAAAAGGGGATGGGGCTATTCACAATGCTGCTAGGGAATTATTACCACGCTAATGCCACGTCAGCGCTGATTACAGAGATGCTGATTGTCCCACTGCCCAAGTCTGATCTGCTTAAGAGAGGCTTGTTAACCTGTGCTACTGAACAACACCTTACACTTTCACCCTCTGCAACCCTTTCTCCTTCTATCTAATCTGTTTGTTCAGCAGTTTGGGACGCATCCTTTTGCCGCAGATTTGCTACAAGTAAAAACGCCTACTTTCTATTTATTCAATGCAGGCTGCTCTGGGAACACATACGTTTATTTCATTATATTAGTGAGGACATTGCATAGACTTCCATTGATTTTTCCATCAGGTTAATGATATTTTCTTTGACCTACCCATCACAGAATCATGTGCAAAACACTAGATTTAAATAAAAACAAGTGTTGGCCAATTTATAAACCTTTTTAACTAGTGTGGACCAGTTAAATGTTCTCACTAGTCGGTTGTCATGATATCTATCTCCCTGTTTAAGTGAGGACATTCGGCACTCACAAGTATAGCCAAACCCGTGAGTGTGTGAGCAGTGGCAGTACCTGAGAGAATGTGTTCACCCTGATATTGTTAATAGTTTGTGTTAGTGATGTTTGCACATGCACCCTAGTGTGTTCAACATTGTATGTTTGATAGACGAGCATATATATATGCCTCTTGGGGCTTAAATATGCGCTGATTGTTGGTATAAGCACATGCTGTTGTGCACAGAAAGATAAATTGGAGCGAGTCAGCAGGGCTTTGCTTCTAACACACAATGTGCTGAGAACATGCCATAAGCAAGGTCGTACCAATCAATGCAGTATTAATTAAATTGAGTATGTGCGTGTGCGTTAGAGAGAGTGCTTAAATGACCTTTTATTTTGGCCCTGAGTGTGATGTCTGGGTTGACTGGGATAGTTTTTGAAAATCTTAATTTCTTTAATATTTAGTGCAATATTATTTATATTGAGATGCATCTTCACCAAGAGGATTATATGCTCAAATTTAACCTAAATTAATTCTCAGCATTATTATTGAGCTTTGCTTAATATGAAATAGAGAAACAAAATAAACTCTGAAACCTGACCTATTTGCTTTTGTGTTTGCAGTGTCTCGTTGCGAGGAGGGTGGTACATGAAAAGGAGGAAACGACAGAAAGAGAGGATGATAAGGGAGAGGAGAAGAGCTCTGATGAAGGCCTTCTGCTACAGGCACACCACGCCATGGAGAGGATGGAGGAGTTTGTGCACAAGGTCAGAATCTCTTGCGTTCATCTCTCACACACCAACACACATGCACATCAATGTCGCAGCTGAGACCCTGCTCACACTCCATGTGGATTATCATTGAGTTTATATGTCGAGGGTCATACGGTGAGATTAAACGGATGAGATCAACGCACCGGACATGAGCTGAGTGCTCACAGCTGCTTTTGCACGAACATGCCACAGTCCACCAATACGGAAAACATCCCTGCCAAACCATACACCCATCTCCTGGCGCCAGCAGCCTTTATCTCTATCTTGTATTCAGAGTCTGCCATATGCAGAGGAACAGGAACTGAAAGCCGTCCTTTGTAGCGTGTGCTGCAATTATGTGCCCTATAAACCAGCTCAAGTTTAGTTTGCTTTTTGAGCCCCTTCCGCTTTAATGGCTCTTTCCTTCCTCTCTCCCTCTGGGGGAAAAGCCAAAGCTCTCTGTGTCGAAGAGCAAACACAGTGCAAGATCCAATCAGTGCCATTCACTATCAGCACTGAGGTACAGAGTCTTGAAAGGAACACTTCTAGGAACGCAGACTTTGAGAACATCTTGACAGATGACTGAAAGCCTCGTCATGGAGTGTCAATCAAACAACCTGACCTAGATTCATTTGTTTTGTTTTGTTTTATTTATTTAAAAGTGTCTTGATATACATGGAAAACTAAGAACACTTCTTAGCAGATACGGCGTGTTCAGAATGTAGACATAGGCCTCTTTGCCCTCTGCTGTAGTCACTGCATGTGTTACACAGGTGTTAATCTTGTGGTCACGCCTGTGACTGGTATGATTGAATCGGAGTGGTTTTCGTCAGTCTTGTTTGGCAGAGCGATACTTAGAAACTAATGCTGCTTCTCAGCAGTCTCACCACAGCTGGTAAAGAGAAGCTAGGCAACCTAGTTTTATGAAAACCACACAAGAGAGAAAAAAATCCAGATGTAGTTCAGCATTTAAAATCATTTCACTTCAGTTCATGAGGACTATAATATAACAGATTTTCTATTCCTCTTTTGGACATACAAAGTGGAGGTTGTGTGAGGGAGTTGACCAACTTTGTTCAACCTAACAGTACTTGGTAGTTGAGGGAGCAATAGACTTACAATCAAATGTCTTTAAACCATATGTTTTATTATTCAGGTAGCAAGCTATAAATCGTTGCGCCACCATGACAGTAATTGACTTGCGCCGTTATGCTGAGAGTGCAGTGTATACTTGTGCATGCAATAATACACAAGCTTGTGTACATAGCTTTATGCTAGCATACTTCTGTAGAGTATTTCTGGCTCTCTGTATGATTTTTGCTTGCCCCTTAACTCATAATTACTTTATGCTTATCTCTTGCTCTCGTCCTCTTTTACATACACGCATAGACCGTATAATTACTTGCTGAAGTTAAATGAGAGGGCTTTTCTCATGCCAACCAGTAATGCTGACCTGAGCTAAGCGTAATGACATGTCAAAGAGTGGCCTGATCTTTTTTTTCTTTTTAAACTGCAGGGTTGCTTTTGAGCGCTTACAGTGATGCTTTTAATTTTATGTCTTAGATGTGGGAGGGCAGATGGCGTGTCATTCCTCATGACGTCCTCCCCGATTGGCTAAAGGATAATGACTACCTGTTGCATGGGCACCGGCCACCCATGCCCTCCTTCAGAGCCTGCTTCAAGAGCATCTTCAGAATCCACACGGAAACGGGCAACATTTGGACACATCTTCTGGGTACACACAAAACATTTTTTATTATTATTTTTTTTATTATTTACTTATTGTAAGTGGATCAAAAAAAGTTAATCAAAGTTGTCCTAGGACAAGAACGGGTATTGTTCAAAATATATCATGTATAACTGATGAAAGGTTTTGATCCACTTCAAATGTTGACTATGGATACAATTACATTTAAATTAAACGGAAATGCATCGGCACAATAAGCGCTGCCACCTAGAGAAATGTGGGCATATTTCACACAGCATGGGAAATGTAGTCATGGGTCATTCTAAACATAATAGACTCTTGGCCTAGATAATGATATTGATCGTGAGGTGATATGGTAATGTGCAGCTATTGATCTTCTACACCTTTGGACTAGTGGTATGACTGAGCCAAGGGAGATGTGTGATGTTGGTCTACTAGTAAACGTTTAGCTTTCTGATGTACTTTGAGTTCAGATCGATTTTACTCTTTGTACTTTAATGCATTTATTGATTTATAGAATTGACCTGTAGCGGGGAGGGGCCTCTGTATAACTTTACAAATTATAAAATTAGCGTCAACACATTTATCTGCACATACATTTTTACACTAACCAGTATTTCTCTTGTGTCTTCAGGCTGCCTGTTCTTTCTCTGTCTGGGCATCGTGTACATGTTCAGACCCAATATGTCGTTTGTGGCACCATTCCAAGAGAAGATCGTCATCGGCATGTTCTTCCTGGGGGCCATTCTCTGCCTCTCCTTCTCCTGGCTCTTTCACACAGTCTACTGCCACTCAGAGGGGGTGTCCCGTGTCTTCTCAAAGTAAGCACACGTAACACTTAATGATAAGATTCTGTACTTTATTATTAGTTGATGCACCATGATCATTTTTTTATCATTTATTAATCTCAGCTGATGTTAATTTGTAGATAATTCATATTTTAGTCCATAATGCACCACTAATGTTAATACGATTTTAATGTTAAAATATATATATATATTAGGGGTGTAACGGTTCACAAAATTCACGGTTCGGCACGGTCCGGTACGTTTTCGATACAGCAAAAAAAATGGCAGAGAAATTTCCTTGATTTAATTTTTTTAATTATATTTTTATTAAAACTAACATCATAAAGTATGATTCTTTTTACTTTGAGCAATGATGGAGCTATACTTGACTTTTCTTAGGAGCATATAAAACAAAACAGCTCCTTGAATGTAATGAAATGAAATGAAATTTAATATTGTAGTAGTTATAAACAAAGGTTTATTTTAGTTCAGATTAACATTTGATAAAACCGACGTAATGTTACTTGAAAGCATTATAGCCTACTATTCCTGCCAAACTTCCATGGTTACAGTTAGTAGTGTTACTACAGTAAACCCATGGTGAATGTTGCTGATCTGTGGACACTGGATAGTTAATTCATGGCACAATGTTTCTTCCTGGTTTGCACGTCAGCGCTGTTTGATCCGTTAATAACGGAGAAATGTGAATGTGTCTCACTAGATCTCGCAGCAATGTTATTACTTCAGTGGCGAATTCAAATGCTTTCTTTACTGGATTTCGCTGTGTAGTAACAGTGCTGATGATTAAGATCGGCTCGCGCTGCATTGGTCCAAACTGATAAATGGTCCGTCAACCACACGATAACGAGTGGCTCAGTTTCGTTCCGCTTACATTAGCCATTTAATGTAATGTTGTGGGCAAGCCAGCGTCTCTTACATTATGAGCGCGCTTGCCACGCGTGACGCGCCTACATTTGAAATAACGAATATTTGGTCGGCAGGAAAAATGGTCCAACGAACCGTTCGGTTTAAAAATGCGTACCGAAAACCGAACCGAAAGCCTCGTACCGAACGGTTCAATACGAATACGTGTATCGTTACACCCCTAATATATATATAAACACACGTAAAGATGAACCTTCACCAAGAATATTTATGTAAATGTATTCGGTTGTTAGTTCATGAAGGTTAATAATGGAAGTTCAGTATGTTTTCATATGAATGAATCTCTCAGCCTCCTCTTTCTCGTTCATTCCTATCACAGGCTAGACTATTCGGGCATCGCGTTCCTGATCATGGGCAGTTTTGTACCGTGGCTGTATTACTCCTTCTACTGCTCCCCTCAGCCCTGTTTCATATACCTGATAGTGGTGTGTATCCTGGGGATCGCTGCCATCACAGTCTCACAGTGTGATTTCTTCGCCACGCCACAGTACCGCGGAGTCAGGGCCGGTAAGACGCTGTCTCACTCTGTTGTTTAAGAAAAAAGCAGACTGATCGGTCATCTTGTGGTCATCAACTAGTGGGTTTAGCTGCTGTATGTTTAAGATCAGAGTAGGCTACAATTTACTTCAAATCCTGATGTAACACACCATAACCTCTAGGAGTAGTGTAACGGGAATGTCCCAGGCAAAAACATCTAGCTTTCTGCCATTTGCCAGTGATGGGTGAATGGAGAAATGATTGGCCATAAAATGATATTTGCATTATTTTTATTGTTTTTCTGCCAAGTTCTGCTTGCACTTGGTGCTTAATGAGTGTTATTTTGGAGGTCTAGAAGTCAAGTCACCTTTTTTTGTCATCGTTCAGTTCTCATACAACAGCGTCAGTATAGTCACATATCAATAATATTGTTGAATAGTAAGTGTCCCCAACTAAGCAAACCAGAGGAAACAGTGGCAAGGAACCCAAACTCCATCAGGTGACAGTATGGGGAATAAACCTTGAGAGAAACCAGGCTCAGTCTAGTTCTCTTCTGGCCAATGAACGAATTCTGTGTCATTATGATTCAGGCTGCATCACAGGTCAGAAATCAGATCGGTAGCATTCAAATATTCATCCAGTTCTTTTGCTTGAAGATAGATTCATCACGCCAGTATGGAGCCAAAGCTGGCCATAGAGTCTATTTGGAGGACCTGTCTGGTTCTCGTGGTCTTTGCTGAGGATCTGTGCCGACGGCTGTCATGTAGACACGGTCTCTGCTGACATTCAGGGCTGCGTTTTGGTCGTGTCTAGGTGCAGGTCCACCATCTGATCTGGATATGGACCGGATCCGGCTGACTACGGTAACCTCGGGATAAGGATGAGACAGACAGACTAATATTAGCGTAGATGCTATTCTTCTTACGATGTAACAAGTACATCAGGTGTTATGGGAAGTGTTCCTGGTTCTGGTTAACCTAATTTATGCAGCCTAACATTCATTTAACTGATTTGAATAATGAAAATTGATCATGTTTTATGTATATGCCAGGTTAAAGAGATGTGTTTTTAGTTTAGATTTAAACTGACAGTGTGTCTGCTTCCCCAACAAGGCTAGGAAGACTATTTCAGAGTTTAGGTGATAGATTGGAAAAGGATCTACTGCCTGCAGTTGATTTTGATATTCTAGGTATTAACTGGCCTAAATTTTGAGATCACAATAGACGTAAAGGACTTTAATGCGTTAAGAGCTCTCTCAAGTACTGAGGAGCTAAACCATTTAGTGTTTTGTAAGTAATTAGCAAGATTTTAAAATGTATGTGTTGTTTAACCCTTTATGACCTGCCATAGAACAATTCCACCAGAGTATATCTTTGTATTTTTACATGCTGTGCTGTCATTCTTTTGAGCATTTTCATATGCCATACATCAAAATAATCCTTACTCTCCCAATTTGAAGGCTATGTTTGTAAAAAATCAATAGTAACTAGATAAATATCTCAAAAGTGCAATAAACAAAAAGAAAAACAATTTTAACTATTTATTTCTTACATATTTTATTCAATACAAAAAATGAATAAATGTGAACCTCAAACTTGTCAATGTGAAAAACGTGCATAAAACAATTTAAAACTATACAGAATTGATTTGAACTGTTTACATAAATTAGTTTTTAAGATACACTCATTTTTACACTCATTCAAAAAAAGGGAGGGGAAATGCCATGTAAAATATTCAATTACATTTGTGGTCAAACAGATAACATTTTGCTTTTGAATATTGATTGAACATTGAATTGGTTAAAATATAAAATAAATAGATGAGCAGACGTATAGTTCATCGTCATCGGACGCAATTAGTATTTCCAAAACCTCCGCGTCCGTGTACTTTCGTTTAGACATAACGTTGCGTGCGTGCGCGCACGCGTGTGTGTGTGTGTGTGAATGTGCTTGTATTTGTGAGTGTCTAAAGGAGAAAGAAATGATAAAATAAAGCAATGGTAAAAAGACAATAACGATAAGGAGGAACATATAGCAAATGGGAGTCAAACGGGAGTCAAACGTGTGTTTTTTTTTTTTTTTTTTTTTTTTTTTTAAACCACTTTAGCGGAAATCCCGCCCTGCAGCCGATTTCATTGGTTTAGGTTCAAGTGACGGGTAGGTTTAGGGATCAGTGTTTGGTGTAGGCAATCTGTACAGTGATTGACATGAGCAATGAAAACTTTAGAATCGGCTGCAGGGCGGGATTTCCGCTGAAGTGGTTTGGGAAAAAAAAAATCACGCGAGTCAAACGCATGGTCAAATGACGCAGCTTGTTACGTCACAACATGCGACACACCCGGGGGTCATAGTGCACAGAACGTGATGCGTCAATGAGCCATCGGAAGACGTAACTATCAATCGCAGATCGACAGAACATGTGTGCAAAGACGTGCAATGCATTTTTGTGGGTTTTTTTTTGTAAACGCATATTACGCAGTTTGTACAGACTGATTAGAGGGTGAAAACAACGCAACATGGGCATGTTGGAGGCTTTATCTGAACATGTTACATCTCTGGTTTTGTATGCAAAAAGAATGATTGAGCTAGCAATTTGGTTTCAGTTTCTATAGGCTTTTAAACAGACACACGGTCTTAAAGGGTTAATAGGGAGCCAATGCAGTGTTGACAGAACCGGGCTAATATGGTCATACTAAGTTCCTGGTTCTAGTAAGAACTCGAGCTGGTCCAAAAACGCATCAGCTAGAGTTTGTTTATTGAGCGTGCAGGGCAACCACCCAGTAGAGCATTATAATAATCTAGCCTTGAGGTCATGAACGCATGAACTAATTTTTCTGCATTTGTCATTGAGAGCATATGTCGTAATTTAGATATATTTTTAAGATGGAAAAATACGGTTCTACGCTAGAAATGTGGCTTTCAAATGAAAGATTGGTTTCGATGACAGAGCAGCCATCAAGTGCTAGACCGTATTCTAGGTTATTACGTGCAGAGGTTTTTGGTCCAATGATTAGATGGGTTTTTTTTTCTCAAATTAAGTACTAGTCATCCAATTTTTTTTATATCAACTATATATTCCGTTAATTGCTATGTTTCGTCGGCGCAAAGAAATATAATGCAATTCAACAAATTGTAATTCTAGTAATATTGCATTACTAGAAGTGTCTAGTAATGCAATATAAATAGTAATATTAATACCTGCTCTGTCTTGTGTGTCTCAGGTGTGTTTGTGGGTCTGGGTCTCAGTGGAGTCGTTCCCACGCTGCACTTTATGATCACAGAGGGCTTCCTGAGGGCCACCACCATGGGTCAAATGGGCTGGCTGTTCCTCATGGCCGTCCTGTACATCACCGGAGCCTGCCTGTACGCCGCGCGCATACCCGAGAGATTCTTCCCCGGCAAGTGTGACATCTGGGTGAGTTGAATGTCCCTGGAAGTCATACACATAGTTCATAATCCAAACTGAATGCCTTCCATTTAAGATCTAACCTGTACCCTGTCATCATTTTGTCTACTGCAGTTCCACTCCCATCAGCTGTTCCATATCCTGGTGGTGGCAGGTGCGTTTGTGCACTTCCACGGTGTGTCCAACCTGCAGGAGTTTCGCTACACAGCTGGCGGAGGCTGTGCGGAAGAGGGTGGGGTGTGAGCCTTGTGTCCTGCGGTGCTTGAAACGCACCACTAGAGGGAGAGAACGTTCCTCTTACCTTTGCCGCCAATAACAGCTCTGTTCCTCCTGCCCATGAGGGGTAAACCAAGAGGACAGCACTGAATGACGAAGTTACCCACCTTTATTATTATTATTATTATTTTTCTCTTTCCGTTTTTGTTTCTCTATTTTGCCCCTTAAATAAAATGAGTCATGGGATAAGGTGGACAGGTTGAGGATGGTGATTCCTATGATCATACATTTAGGAAGAGGAGACTTTTTGGCTTGGTCTATTGCTGTTTTTTCTTTGTACAAGAAAAAAAGTTGAACAGACAAAACTCAACAAAACAAAAAAAAGTGTGAACGTTTCTTGGGGTGGGCCGTCAGCCATTTTAAACTTTTTCATGTAAATAAGATTTCTAAAATTTGGGTTATATAGATTTGTACGAAAATAAAGTTATAAAATGTTTTTAAAAAAATACATCATTATATCATTATATTGTTTAACGGAGGGAAAAGAGAGAACGTGTTATTCCAGGGAAAGAGACCAGATCAGTAAAAAGCCACAGTTTAAGTGGACAGATGAGAAGCGGCCTTCCAAATGCCTCAGTGTGCTGTTATCCAAGACCGGCTGGTAAAAGCTATAATAAAAAAACCGCACCTGTAGGACAGTAGAACACCTTGTACCCGATGGAGCCGCCAGGATTCAGTGCTCACGTACTCCACAGGCCTTCATACCTTTGTCAGTGCTGTTTCCTTCAACACACAGAAGGCCGCTTTCCCAAACTCCATTGTTTCCATCTTTAGTTACTTTCTCTCTTTCTCTCTCTGTTCTGTTTATTCATCTTTGTGGATGTTGATTCAACCTGGTTTGAAAAAAAAAATAATAGATGAGACTTGCTGTTGTGAAGTACACAAAATCATACTCGAGCAGTGCAAGGATGCGTTTGTTGTGTAACATTCTGTTTCATCATCTGTATATGATATAATTTATTAAAGAGTTTTCATGGAAACATTACGAGCTGTAATATTCCACATTAAACAAGGGCAATGTTTGTTTTCTCAGAGATTTTTACATTGATATTTATTTTAATTTTAAAATAAATTAAAAAAAATTAAAACACTCATAACAGCTGTGGCTTGTTTTTCTTTCTACTCTGGTTAATTTGTGCAGCACCAAATTAGTGATCAAATTATGCAACATTTAAATCACATTTTTTTCTCATTATATTATAATAGACATTTTACTAGTGAGCATTTTTTGAGGACTCTCAAAAGTGTGTATTTCCCCCATCTGCTGCCTTTCACATCACACTTCAGGATAGTTGCTAGACTTCAGCACTTCTAATAAGTATTATTGACATTATAACAATTTCCTGTTGATAAAATAATCAGTCACAAGACATTTGCAGCTCAGGTGATTGGCTCAAATCAACCTGGCAGAAAGACTGATACACCTGGAAAAGCCTAACTAATGATTTGAACAGTCATGACCAGTGGCGTAACTATCGGTAAGCAGGGTACGCGGTTGCTTACGGGCCCGGACCAATCAGGGGCCCGCTTGACTGGAAGTTATTGATTGACAGCCGGGGCCCCCTATCGCATATTACTACTTTTAGTTTGATCGCATTTTACTTTATCACGATTTTGTTTTAAATAAATAATGACAACAACATATTTTACAGATCATTAAATACATGTGTGAAACGAACAATCATGGATTTTGGTGTAATTTGTTTTGAGCTGGGACTGGGGAATCCCCGGGTCGGCTGTTTAACGTTACACGCGCGCGCCACTTCATGCGTTTTCTCAGATCGGATAGCTACTGATTTATCAAAACGATTCCATTTAGAGCTGGTCACATAAATGTGTTTTTGCAAAACAGATATAAATCCGATCTTCAATTTCCGCGCTATATGCAGATTTAATAGAGTTCACGTCACCGAAAGCAACAGATAAGCTGCATTTTATTGATCATCAGCTAAAATTTCTAAATCGAAGACCGCAATTAGAGAGAGCGGCAACAGTACTGGTAAGATCATTTCGTTTCTTTACTTTTAATGAAGATGATTGTGTGTTAAGCGAGCGTCTGCGACTTACTTTCACTTTGATCTGCGATAGTTTGTGCGTTGGCTTGATGAAGAGATGCTCATCTGCGGTGATGCGTGTTGTTGCAGAAGCGTGGTCATATCTGACTATGACATATAGCCTATAACACGATCTCACACGTTTATTTTTTTAGCATTTTTAGAGGAGTAAAATTGACATATGTGGTTTCAACAACCAGATGCATTTACACTTGTCCAGTGTCGTCTGGAATGCGGCCCAGACCTCCTCCTGAAGTGGTTTGAGCGACCGGATTCAAATCCGTCTCGAATGCGTTTCGAAGGGAATTTACACCTGGTCTTTTCACGATCGGATAGCTATACGATCACAGAAAAAGCATGAAGTGGCCAGGTGTAAACAGTTCCTTGCGTATTGCTTGCAAAAGCCTACTCGTGGACATTGCGTCATCACGTGTTGTAGTAGGGGGCCCGCCTTGATAATCCTGCATAAGGGCCCGGTGTTGGCTCGTTACGCCACTGGTCATGACCTGAAAATAAAATGCTCTCAAGTAGTCTAGCCGAATAAGTCAAAAGTGGACAGTGTACCTACATCCTTTTTACACAACCTATAAGATTTATGCATGGTATTAAACAAATAGGAAATTAGCATAAAGTTATTAGTTTTACGTGGTTTCATTATATGCTCTGTCATTAAAGAATGACAGCACTGAAATAAAAATTCACTACAGTCTGGGGGGAAAGCCAACTTGTTTTCTGCCATCTTTCATATTATGATATGAATTTCCTATTTCACATGATTAAAAATGCCATCACCAATGAAATGAACAAATTCTAACAGATGGCTTTCTAAAATGTTTATAGACCTCTGAACATTCAACAAATTTTGTCAGCCTATGAAACGCTTATATAGTCTGCATGTTAAACTGGCAAAGCATGACATTTTAAATCAAGAAAGTGACATCAGCTATGAGAAATAAATGTTGATTCTTTCAGCCATGGGATTCAAAGGGTTAACATTGTCCTTATGCAGGGCACTTGACTTTAGGCTGCTGGATGGGCACTGACCCTCTGAAGATACGCTCTGGATAAGTTGGATGGTGGCATTTAACTGCTCAATCAACCCCAATAAGCAGTGATGCATTTGATGTTGCTTTGCATTAGAATACATCTGCCAAATACATGCTTTGCCTGGTAGGAGGTGGATGATATGATCATAGGCATGCAATAACTACACCTTCCTTGGGACTATATTTAGTTTCATCACCCACCATCCTAGAACCAACTACTCCTTATCAGCCAAAGTTGATATTTAGCAAAAACGTTCAAATATTAAAATACATTACTGTTGGGTATGACGGAAAGTGCATCTGAAAGCACATCTACCAAACTTCTTTTGTCTGAAACATTGTGCCAAAGTTATATACTATGGGAAAACCGACATATTATAAAATGAGAGTCATTTTAAAACTCAGAAAATTTCTCTCACGTTTACACGTTCAAAACTATCGCGTTGACGCGAAAACCAATGAGGTTTGAATTTGAATGCAGCCTTGCTGCTCTGGTCTTACTTATATGGCTTCTCTTTATATGGAACGCAGCCAATGCACAACGCTTGTGTAAACAAACAGACGTTCTTTTCACGTTCGCGCCAGATTCGAAATGAGGACAATATTTTAGTGCCAAAATACGTTTTTATTCTCGCAAAGCAAGCGACTCAATTCAGAAGTCTTGGAATACGAATAACGTATACTATTCATATGGACTACTTTGATTGTGATTTGGAGCTTGAAGCCTTGTTTATACTCGACGCGTCCGCACGAGCGCGAGTCTCCGCTGACTGCGCGCGCACCTCTCCAAACGGACGAGGCGTTTATACCCAAGGGGGTAATCCATCGACCGGAAGTTGAAGCCGGCCGGGTGCCGCCATGTTGTAGCAGAACTTCACTTGCGTTAGCATTTCCATTGACTCCCATTCATTTTTGCGTCACTTTGACAGCGAATAACTTTACATATGAGGCGTTTAAAGACTCCATTTGTCCATTATTTATTTCTAAAGAAACACGACAATGTATAAAGGGCTCCATTACCTTCTATGTTACACTATGGCCCCGTAGAAACAGATTTAGTAAAAATAGGCTAACGATTGCGTCATAACCACTCGACTCTCTGTCGCGCTGTACAGAAGTTACCGTACAGACAGGAGGAGAAGCACGCAGGCAATCGGGGGGACGTCCCGTCAAGGGAGAAGCCCATAGATAATGAGTCCATAAAAGCAACGGAATTCTTACTCCTGCTCACTCACGCCAAAGAACTCTTTGCTCAAGTTCCCCGTCTCTGCAAGATTAACGTTGGCAGTTTTCACGCACAGCTACTAGAAGATTAACGTCTGTCAGACAGGTTGCTCACGTCATCAAGCTTAGTTTGAGTCGGTCTGAGTCTGCGCGTCAGGAACGGAAGTTCTCAAAAATCGCTAAAAGTGGGCTTCAACTGTCTCAACTGAGTTCCAATGAGATCGCTCTGTCCATTTCTTTTACTGTCTATGGTTTATACTCGACGCGCTCGCCGTTGTGCTATTCTGTGAAACGACAGGGGGCGACTCGGAGTAATTCTCCTCTAAACCACCAGGAATCAGCAGTGAAGAAGTAGTTTGCCGTTTATTAGTAGTTTATTAATTGCTGATTCATATAAAAAGAGTAATAAATGCAGTAGGTTTATTGTACTGTCACTGCATGTAAACTAGTTAAACAACTGAAGCCTTATTGAAGAGTGTTTAAACCTTAATTTCATCAGCAGGGCTTACTTCTGCTATTGTAGGCTTATTTTGTAAATATAAGCAGTTACTTTAGAGTGCAAACTGTGTGTTTGATGCAAATGTGTTCCTATTCACAAAATGAGAGGCTTTTATGGTCGCCCATCAATGCAAATGTCTCTGTGTATAGAAGGATCATAAACATCCTGGTACAGACGTACCAGTTCGGCCAGATTCGGCTCGAAGTCGTTCATTTTCGGATGCGGCGCCGCGCGCGATGTTACAAAAAGTGCCGTGCACACCGCCAGGCGAAATGGGGTCTTGCGCACCCAACGCGCACGACCGCCCACACCGCAATTACGTCATTTTTGCCGCGCGCACCTTCGCGCTCTTGCGGACGCGTCGAGTATAAACAAGGCTTGATACTTACAACGATCATCCTTCGTCCTTGTTTTTCACGAAAGAAAACGGATCTTCAGCTGGCTGGCAGGAGCCGCCACTGGCAGGTCACATGACCTGTCAGTGGCTGGCTGGCAGCTGCCAGTCTGAGCCTGGCATGTCACGTGACCTGCCAGTGGCTGGCTAGTTGTCTGGCAGTCTGCCTTTGGCAAGTTTCAGAAACCATTGATTTTTGACAGTTTTTGTGTTTTGTGTTCCTCCCTTTCTAGCTCATTTATTATGCATCTGTTGATATGATTATGTTCTTTAGTATTATTGCTGTTTTGGGGACTGTTATCCCAATATAACCAGTCAAATGGCCGTGATCCGACTGGCAGCTTACAGACGCTTGCTCGATGCTCATCCAGTCAGTCGCGGCTCATAGTGCGAGTATAACGCGTTGCCTGACACTCTCGCTGCATGGAAATAAATTGTTTTCTTATTATGAATATAATGTCACGCATCTATTCTTAGGCTACTTCTGTTATAATGGCTATTACTGATCAATAAAACTGAAATTTAACAAAAAGAGTTAAATATTAAAATGTCACTATTTAACTTATTTTTATTGTATATATTCTGTAATTGATATTTCTTATTCTATTGCTATTATTATAGTATTATTAATAAACTATATGCTATTATGAATATTTTTATGATTGTATTATTGTACTTATGATATTATATAATTAGACTATTCATTATTATTTTATTTGTTGTATACTATTTGTTTATTTTATTGACTAAACTATTTACTATTACTTCTCACTTTATGTTATATTTACTACTATTTTATTAGTATATTTACTAATATTTACTATATTTACTTTGCATTGCACTATAGTTGTACCATAACATATGTATTATCATAAAAGAT